GGAACCTATTAGATACAATAAACTAAAAATTCGAGAACCTATTATAATCTTTTTCTAGTACATGAATAAAATATATATACACTATTGAAAATTTAGAGACAAACTTATAATTTGACCTTTTATTTTTAAAGCTGATTTCCCAAATACATATATATATATATATAGAAATATTGTTTTTATAACACATCGTTTTAGTTTATGTCCYGATCAACAATTGATTCAGATATCACATCAAAATCTATAGATCTCGTAAGCATGACATGTTTTAGGTTCATATCACATCGCTAATAGAAACCAAGAAATTTGGAAATTCAATGAACATAGTGTAGAAAGGTGATAAAATCCTCTTTTTTCAATGAATGGTTGTATATTATAGAGGTTTAGTTTTGATATGATGCATGTATTAGGAGAACAAAAAGAGGGCCATGTCCTCTTAATTAAGGGAAAAAATTGCCCTTTGGCTCTAGCCCTACCTTTTGTAGGTTTTGATTTTTTTCCACCAAAAAGTTAGCCAATAAACAAAGCCTATAACCCTAATTAATGATTATTAAATTTTGTTAGGTTCAAAATATGAACCTTGATTTCTGGAAGTAAGATTGAGATTGGTTGAAAATGTAAGTAATCACTAGTTTATTTTCTTTTGCCTTTTTTAAATTAGTGGAGTCACTTTTTATATTTGTCATTTATCTCACATAGAAGACTTTTTTTTCTTTTTTTTTTTACCAGAAATTATTGACTGTGACGGTGTTATCAGGCTATCCTATCAATTTTTTCATATATTCATAGATTGGACATGAACATGAGAGGTGAATGGACAATTTCATAGTATTTCGAAAAAATTGACCAAATATATAAGATATCAACAAAATATTATTAATATAGACATAATATTAATATTAATAAATTTTAACTTATTTTAAAATAGTGAAATGCTTATTTTTTATTTTAAAAAGTTGTTATAAATTCTTTTTAATTTTATAATTTTTCAAAAAAATATGATATCGACATTTTATCGATTTTTTTTCTTGATATTTCCATCATCATTTAATTAAAATCTTGATTAAAAAATTTTGAATTCCAAGCACATATATATAGTGACAATTAATAACATAAATACTAAAATTAAAAATTGTTCTAAAAACATTCCGCAAACAAGTCCTAACTCTTTCTAAATTATGAAAAAAAAGAGATATATTTCAAGAAAAGGAAAAAAATAATGATTAGTTAAATATATTTTTCAAATCTTTTTATTTATTTTTTTAAAATAAATGAGAAGTATAAAGTGATTGTAATCTTCATTGTTGTACATTTGAAGACATCAAAGAAGAAAAAGAACAAGAAATGTGACAACATTATATACTTACCTTTTAAGAAACATATATACAAAATTATTGTTATCTAATTTGTTTGCTAATAATCTTAATTACATATCAATTAAGTAATGTATTTTGACACATTATAATTAATCTTGCAATTATCCATTAATAATTTAATTGTTTGGGTAGGAGGAGAGAAATTAATTAATAATGCAAAGTTAAGTAATTAAAAACTATAGAATATATAAGAATTTTGGATACAAATTACACTTTTATTCATTACATCTCATAATGTTGTCAACCATATTGCATGCCAAGGTTTATCATTCTATGTATTTAAGATGAAGGTGAGAGAGAGAATACTCTATTGTTTCCCTATTTGGAATGTAGTTATAATGCTCTTTGGTTGGTGGGTGTTTTTTTTTTCTCTTTTTTTGGTCTATTTTTCAAATAATTTTATCTCTTGACCTACTTGTGATGACACAACGGGTAAAATTTTTTGTCGATGTTGTTAGGTTTCGATCTAGAGTTTGAATCTTTCTACACTACAAGAATCAAGCTTCTAGCAACGAAAAAACGGTCGYTGAAAGTGGAAAAGCGTCACTGGAAAATTTAGACGACAAAAAACAGTTTCATATTGTTGTGTGCCACATTGCTGAAAAGCAGTCGCTAAAACTCTTCAACAACAAAAAGGTGCAACGTAACGTTGCTAAAACTCATCAGCGACGAAGTCGATTTTCACCACAAATATAGCGACGAAAATTAAATTCGCCGCTTATTTTGGATTTGTTTTTTAAATACTTCTTAGTTATTGTTATACATTTGTGTTACAAATTGTAAAAYTTTTTTAAACATTTGTTACTTAATGTCTCATTTTTTCATTGCATAAGGTTCATTTCTTTTTTTTTTTTTTAGTTACAGTTAAAAACAGACGAGAAGAAAGTTTATTTTTATCCATGTACCTAAACTCAAATGAGTTAATTTTGTTAAATTCATAGGAATTACTCTAAACTTGAGTAAAGTGATGAAATTGATCTCATCATGCCAAGATGTTCACAATTCAATCAACATATTGCATAAAGTTCAATTTAATCAAGTCSTAAAAATGTTTAATTTCACTATCATTCAAATTTAGGGTTCTTAAGTTAAAATCAACCGTGGTAAATATATGGGCTAATTCAGAGAAAGAGAGAATTTAAAAACTTTTCCAAAAAATTTATCATTAATAGATTTTGAGATTATGTTTCCATTGGAAGTTCAAATCTCTACTACCTCTTCTTCATTTGTTAAAAAAAAAAAAAACAAAAAACAAATAAAGAATTTTCATATCCATACTAATTAATTCGAATCCTCTCCAAATAAAAACTCACATTTTAAGATTTCATCCTCCATTATTTACCTCCACTTGTATTTATCGATAAATAAAATTTCCTAAGTCATAGTATTTTCATCCGCAATTCAAATCTTCGTACCTCCACGTTTGTCGTTCGAAAAAAACCTCAAATCCTTATATTTGTCAAATAAAAAAAAATTCTCTCTCCTCTCTTTTTGGTGTGAGAGTACATAATTAATTAAGAGGGTAATTTTACTCAAAACCCTCAATCATTTGTACACCAATTATTATAGAATTGCTGTTGATTGTCAGGCTAACACTTTAAATTTGTTAATTAATCCCTCTCTTTAGGTACATAATTACACCAGAACCCTCTCAATGAGCTAACACAATGATTTTTGTTAAAATTACTATTTGTAATTAATGACTGTTCTTGAGTATGGCTTCAACAGGGATTTTAATCAGTGTGCAACTAATTAATTAGTTAATTAATTAAACTATCCAATCCACTTAACTTAAATCTTATTGGGAAAAATTAAACACACCCATTATCCCCAAAATATATTCTTTCATTTCCATTATTATCAACTTCATTACCTCAATACCATAATTTATGTTCATATTTTTGTAAAAGTTAACCCCAATCTATCAAAGTTTGGATTATTAATGTCATATTTACACCATTATACCCCTTTTATAATTGGTAACTTTTAAAATTACTTTATAAAGTGCCAACGTAACCCTCTTTTGTAAGCCATTTATATAATTAAAGTGTCTTTGCATAATTACAACAATATTTTAATATAATAATTATGTTTAATCACTGTACTTTAATCTTAGCCATCATATAAAATGATTTTGAATTAACTTTTGAGGTTGAAAATCCTTCCTATAATAGAGTTTATATACACACCTCAACTAATCTCATGAAACTCATAAAATTTTAATATATTAAGTAGATATGGATATGGCTGCCGCAAGATTGAATATTATGTTATTCCAAAGTCGCTTTATTTTTGTCTGAATGACTAGCTATTGCATAGATTCTTTCTCAATCAAATATTTAACCAGCTAATTAAGGAATTTTCTTTTTTCCTTTAAATGAGAAGACTTTGTATTAAGAAAAGTTTTTACAAAAACTATCATAGACGATTCATTGGTTCAAAGGGAATAGGATATTAAGAGGGAACAAGTTCAAATTTTGTGATGATATCGCACTGCTTCTATACAAGTTTTCTCTGGAATCAATCATATGAGATTTTTGAATTGTCCTCGACGCCCCATAGCATATTGATTTCTTTATCCAATAATTTATGCTTATGCTTCTCCCTCTCACAACTCAAAAAACATTTTGTGGTGTAATGTTTTGGGCTCTCTTATATGTAACATGTCTCGTTGGAGCAGAATAATCGACTTTTTTCAGATTCATACAGATCCTCTTCCAACCTTTGGGAAGATGTAAAAGTCTCTGCATCTCAGTGGACGTCAAAGTCTCCCCTCTTTTGTAATTATGATTTAACTACTATTTCTCTTAACTTGAGAGCTTTCTTCTAAAGCCTTTCTTTTTTATGTTACTCACATACTCTAATGCAATGGTTCTCATTTTTCAAAAAATTGAAGTACTAAATGAAATTGTAAGTTTATGGTAAAAAAAATTTCCATTATGGTCACTTACCTATAAATTAAAAAAAAAAATCCATCTCAACAAGGCTCAACAAATATCTTCGAGAATTGCCAACAACTCGACTAGTAAATGAGGGGCTTAATTTGGGATAGAGGCATGATCACTATTCATTCGAAACCCATGATTATCTCTCAATAAAGTCATGTAATTAATTATTAAACTCGTTCTTAATTAGTACTGTTTATCGACCCGAACATCATTTTTATTCGAAACACATGCTAGTACTCCCTAGTCCATTCATTTTGATTAACAACTAATTAAACCTACCCTATATATATACATAAATAATATTATGCTTAGAGAAACAGTTAAGTTGATGATTAGTTTCTGTTTATTTAGTTTGCATTAGCAGCCAAAACTAGGCTTAATCATATTAATTAAGAAGAGAAGATATACACAAATATCAAAATCCGGCGGAAATCTAGGACTTTTTTTCACTTATGCATGTGAGCCCCAATATTTATATAAATTTGTATTTCTGCTCCCAAAATGTAACCTTTTTTCTTTATTAATTAATAATATACATAAATGAAAAATAACCTTTAATTGTATTTTATTTTTATTAAAAAAAAGTCGACATATTAACGTCCAAATATTATGATTTCTAGCCCTTCTGTTCTTTATAAATATTCAACTCTCTTAGGCCAACCACTTTTCATCCCTTAACTCTCAGCTTCCCTCTCTCTGCAAAAAAAAAAAAGCTTTCTTGAAAAGCTCTCTTTTTCTCCTCTCCAAGCTTAGAGATAAAGCTCAACCCCTTCCCATGGCTCCCAAGGGAGACAACGTCGTCGTTCCGAACATGAAACTCGAGCGAATGCTCAGCATGAAAGGCGGCAAAGGCGAAGCAAGCTATGCCAACAACTCCCAAGCTCAGGTATCCAATTACGATTGTATTTTCACGAATCATATGTTTTTCAAAACATAATTTGGCAGCCACTCTTAATTCAACGCCAGACTTTCTGTGAATGATAAAAAATTATTCAAGTAGCCTAGTACAAACGTGGATAACAATTTTACACCGTTGGATGCAGAAGGTGAACCACCAACCACTCCCAAAGTTTTTGTTTTTCAATGAAAACGTAACCAAAATTGACAACTCTAAGACCACGTACTCATTATGTTTTCTATTTTCAAAAAATCATCCTATTTTTTCAACGATCGACCACTCCAAGTTCAAGTACTCATTTTGTCTGTGTTTCCTCAAATAGTCCAATTTTTTTTCAAAACAATCGAAAGAATTTTTTTTTTTTTTGCAAGTTTTCAATCTTCCTAATACACACGATAATCTGATTCATCTTTACACGTCATTAATCCAAAATTTGAAATAGAGCAAAATCCCGAGATATCGTAATTGGAATTATTATAGGAATATTTAACAGACGAAGTAGTAATCACAATAAAATTTTCGTTGAAAATCGCAGGCTCAACATGCGAGATCAATGCTTCATCTTCTGAAAGAAACGTTGGACGGAGTTCATCTGAACTCGCCGGAAGTGCCGTTCGTGGTGGTGGATCTGGGCTGCTCATGCGGCAGCAACACCATTTACATCGTCGACGTCATCATAAAGCACATAATAAAGCGCTACGAGGCCTTGGGCGCCGACTCGCCGGAGTTCACCGCCTTTTTCTCCGACCTCCCTGGAAATGACTTCAATACCCTTTTCCAGCTCCTCCCCCCCTTCGCCACCTACGGCGACGGCGGCAGCATGGAGGAGTGCCTCGCCGCCGACAACCACCGCTCCTACTTCGCCGCCGGCGTCCCCGGCTCCTTCTACCGCCGCCTCTTCCCGGCCAGCTCCATCGACGTCTTCCACTCCGCCTTCTCCTTGCATTGGCTCTCTCAGGTAATTTCCCATTCTTTTTTTTTAGTACCAAAATTTTGGAATTTTGTTTTATATATGCATGGCGATTGACATTTGAAAAAAAAATTACAATTTTTTTTGGGGTTTAATATTCCCGAGGAGTATTGAATAAAGCTTTTAATTATTAGAATCTTTAAAAGGTAATTGCATGAAACGGCAATTAAGATAATTTTTCTTTTGTTTCCTTGTTGACAACATTTTTCATTTTTTATTTTAAAAAATTATTTAATGGTTTTATTTTTTTATATAAAAATATATTTTAGTTCTCATCATCAATTTTCATCAATTATTTAACAAAAATTCAAATATACGAAGCCCTAATCTATTACATATAAAATTGCAGCAATAAGTTAAGATTTAAATATTTTTTTTCTAATTTTCTCGCGATCTAAATCTTCAAAATTAAGAGATGAGTTAAAGATATAAGATTTTGCCACCGATAAAAAAAATTTCTAGTTCTATACTTCAAATATTTGTCTTATATCTATTTATATTCAAGTGAAAAAAAAAATTCCCTATATTAAATTGTTGTTAAAGAACTTGTAAAAAGAAAAAAAATAGTTTGATTTTTGTTTGGATGTGTAATTTTGAGAGTTTGGTGTGGGGCCCACTGTGGAGGGCAGGTACCGGAGAGCGTGGTGGAGGGGAGATCGCCGGCGTACAACAAAGGGAGAGTGTTCATCCATGGCGCAGAGGAGGCGACGGCGGTGGCGTACCGGAAGCAGTTTCAGACGGACCTGGCCGGATTCCTCCGAGCCAGGGCTCAGGAGCTGAAGAGGGGTGGGTCCATGTTTCTTGTCTGCTTGGGACGAACCTCCGTGGATCCCACCGATCAAGGTGGGGCCGGCCTCCTCTTCGGGACCCACTTTCAGGATGCTTGGGATGATCTTGTCCAAGAGGTAACCGTAACACAAATAAATATCAATTTGACTTTTCCAATATTAACCCCCAACCCCACTCCTTTTTCTAATTTTTACTACTATATGTTTGGAGTTTTGTGTCAATTTCATATTTTGAAAAGTAGCAAAGTTTTTATCAATTGGGTTGAAACTGTCTACGATTCCACCGACCAAATAAAAAGCACCAACTCATTATCATGTAAATTTAGATAGTTTCAGAAATATGACTAAATTATACGAACAAATTAAGACTGAACTATCATAATTTATTAGAAAATCATTTTTCTTTTTTCATAACATATTCACTTGAAAATTTAAAAAAAAAAATTCTTTTTAAATCGACGGATAAAATTTAGGTGCTTACCCAATAAATAGGATCCTTCATATCTATAACCATTTTAAAGTTGATAGCTATTTATTTTTAGTGGTGATAAGTATGAGACATCTATTCACTAATAAATACTTGAGTATTATTCTTAAATCGATAAACATGGACTACTGACCTCAAGTGGAGTAGTATATGTTCATGTCGATAAATCGACGAAATATTTAGTCAGTTTCTCTCTTTTTTTTTTTTTTCTAGAAGTGTTGGGATATGAAATTTGGAGGTACAAATGTCAAATTTATGGGGCAGAAATGTCAAATTTAGAGGGTAAAATGACAAGTATTGTGAACGTGAGGCATATTTTGCGTGCAAGAAATGGAAAACCCTAGACATAATGATCATAGCGGTTGATTTATTTTTGTTTCATTCTGAAAATTTTCTTACGTTAGAGGGAAGAAAAAAAAAGTATCTGCATAATTCCCCACCACTTGTTCATGTCAAATCCATCCTTTGGTAGACCAAAAAGCAAAAGCATATAGAAGAAAGTTATGATTGCGTGTTGCCGGTCTCACACTAAAACCTTATGATGGATATCTACTGGCCATGATTAAATCCCATCATTTCTGGCCGTCGATGCCCCCCCTTGACAAGTCCATCCAGCCGTCCGCTTGTCGGCAGGACAATGATTGTGTTGCTTGGTGGACCCCACAATATTGTATTATATGTCCGTGGAATTGCATGCATTTCAATACCAACATCATCATTTTCATTTCTTTTTTATTTCTTTATTTTTTATTTATTTCATCACATTTCAACTAAAATAATGGATTGATTATATACCTAGGGAGTTAGCAGAAATTTAAATTTGTGCTGGGATAATGCAGGGATTAATAAGTAATGAAAAACGAGACAGTTTCAACATTCCAGTGTATGCAGCAAGTCTTCAGGACTTCAAGGAGGTAGTAGAAGCAGATGGCTCATTTTCCATAAACAAGCTAGAAGTTTTCAAAGGAGGTAGTCCACTAGTGGTGAACCAGCCCAACAATTCAACGGAAGTTGGCAAAGCTTTGGTCAACACTTGCCGAAGCGTCGTGGGCGTGCTCATCGATGCCCACATCGGCGATCGGCTCAGCGAGGAGCTCTTCTCTCGAGTCGAACGTCGAGCCACAAGCCACGCCAAAGACCTTCTTGAGAAGCTCCAATTCTTCCATATTGTGGCATCACTTTCCCTTGCATAAACAAGGCCAAAAACTTGCCCATTTCTACCCTCTTTTGGTGTTTGCTTCAGCCTTTTGTGGATGATACATAGAAAAGAAAAGGGAATCAAACAGGCAAAAGAGAGAGGTCAAAGGGGCAGCTTTGCCATTATTTTTCTGGTCTCTTTTGAAGGTTTTTTTTTTTGTTCATTATATGACTTTGTAGTGTGATGTTATGAGTCATTTACTGACTTTTGTAGTTATATGTGTTTACAGTTGATGGGCTTTGGTTGTTGCCCTCTAATTGGCTTTGGAAACCCCCAAAAGAAATAGTAGAGACTAGAGAGAAAAAAGCCAAGTGTAACCCCATATATATCATGTCTATAAATGTCAAAAGTCTCTTTGAATGCAATAGAGAAGACTTATAAAGTAAATTACTTTTCAAATGGTCCATCACATTTCTCCTTTTTTTTTCCTCCTTGTTATCCCTTTTTCTTTCTACTTTTTGTCCCCCTCTTGACTTTCTTGTCGGATATTGTGGGAATTGTTTTCTTTGGTTTGGGCTCAAAGCCAAGGCCCATATATGCGGGACAATGTCGGCCCTCGAACCATTCCCTGAATTGGAAATCTCCATGGAATGGCTCCTCATTTCATTACTGATCTTGCGGAAGCTATTCACGCACCGCTCCACATTACTCAGATTACTGAAGTAGTTAAATCAGACAATTGGATTAACCCCGTAGAGAATGCTCCATAATCTTCTCCTTCAGGAGAGTCCCAACTATCCTATAATATCATAGAAAGTATTAGACATTTGAGATCGATATAGACTATGAGTACTTACATGATGTATAGATACAATTAGTTTTTACTTAAATTTTTTTCTTTTTAAATTTAATAATTGCAGGAGTAGGGAATCAAACTATCGATCTTATGGATAATGGATAATATTAAGTGTCTTATATATATTCGCAAATTGACTTTTTTACATAGATTAAATTGAAGTTTGTTAAGATAATTGATAAGGTGTTTTCGAGACTATCTGGTATGATCTTCCACCTTTATTGATCTTTTTTATGCATTGTTACAACAATATTTGGGTTATTTATTAAGGTTTATCGTCATATAAATTTTTATTTTATAAGAGTTTACTGGCATAAAATTGAATGATGTTAAATCTTAAAATATTCTTCTTTTTTTTTTTAATAATTAAAAAAATAAAATTCTTAGAAAATTTTCAAAACCAAATGAAGCTCCATAGGAAATGAATGCTTCTTCGTACGGTCACTTTCAAAGGTAAAGCAACCCAAAGTACGACGTCGTTTTGCATGGCGGTTCTCGAGCTCGCTCAATCTCCGAGTTGAAAGCTTCTCAGACTCGGCGACTGTGGCTGAAGATCGCAGCCAAATTATCGGGGTTTGATCGCCGATGGAGGGAATCGGATCCAGATTGGGCCGCGCCTCCTCCCGCTACGGTCCGGCCGCCACCGTCTTCAACGGCCCCGTTCGGAAGTGGAAGAAGAAGTGGGTCTTAGCTTCTTCTTCTTCCTCCGGCCTCTCCTACCAGCCCTCCTCTCACTCCCAATCCAACGCCCACAAGCTTCTTCTCTGCCGCTGGACGCCGATTCCTCCGCCTCCTTCCACGGAAACCGATGGACCCACCGCGCCGCCCGACGAGCCGCCCAGACGCAAGTTCCGTTACACTCCTGTAAGTTTAGAACGGTACCCAAATCAATTTATGCTCTCTGTGATTGTTGCATGTGAATTGATTTTGACCTAGGGAGTGTTGCGGACTTAATTGGGGGGTTTTCAGATTTTTGGTAGTGGTTATACACCAGTGATTTTGATTTCTAGTTACTGATTTTAGCATGCGCTGCCTTCTGGGAACAATTGATTCATCTCCTATTCTGTTCTTCTAGATTGGGATTTAACTACGGGGCAGACAATTTGGTTGTTTCGGTTGTGTTGTGCAGATTGCTGTGCTGGAGGAACAGAAGAATGCAGAATTGAGAAGTGTTAAGGATGAAGTTAGAATGAAAGAAATCGACCAGGCGGCGGTGTTCACCGCAACTGTGAGCAATGAGACTCATGGAGAGCTGAATGTCAATGAGGTTTTCAAGGAAGAAACTCAGGTGTCAATGTCAACTTGGCTCTTGTTTATTGTTTTCTTGTGAAGTTTCTTTGCTTTTGTTCATGCTTTCTCTCCATGGTTACCTTCTTAGTATTTCTAATTGTGTTGATTTTTGGGCTGAATTAAATTTTACCGGATTCGAAAGAGCAATATACAGATATCTAGATCTTTTCATCATTTTACTTTTCCTTACATCATGTATGAGAAGATACATATAACAATAACATGGTATTAGGGTTCTTTCTAATGTCCATTTAGATAGTTTCTTTCTCAATGAAAGTTGGTTCATTGAGATAGTTACATCTTCATGTTGTTTATCAATAGTCAAACAAGAAAATGAAATCTTACCTCATTTTTAGTGGCTCAATCATGAGTACTCCTAAGCATGCTTGACTTGGAGCAATAGGTTAGGTGACATCTTGGGGGATTTTTCTAGGAAGCATGTGTGTGAGGATAAAGTGTGTTGAAAGGACCCATGTTGGCTTTTAGGGACCGTTTTCACTCTTGCAAGCAACTCAAGTAAAGCATCTGGTGCAGCTTGTAGGGAATGTAGAGGAATACTGGGGCACCATGTGTCAAATCTGGATTCAAAATCCTTGTCTGAATCCTGGGTTTGGGGTGTTACAAAAAATACTTGGAAAGATTACAGGAGAGACGAATTTCTCTGTATCTTGCTGGTTTCAGGGAATCCTGAGCATTGAGCACTTGGTTGAGTTGAAGCCCTGTTTTGACCAATACGACAGACTCTTGGGACAAGATGTTGATTTTTATTCATATACTCAGTGAACTGGGACATAGTTTAGCAGATTAACATCATTACACTTATGGAAAAGTTTTCTAGTTCAGTACAAAATGGTAGAATCATCTCATTCTCAAGAACTTGATGAACCCCGAAACCATATTTTCTTTGCAGGAAACGAGCAAGATTCTGAACAGCCCACGCAATGCAAACAAGAACCGTTTAGATTTGGCATTGTGCTTGAATGGTGGGAACCAGAACCAAGAATCTGCTGGTAAGAGCTCTTAACATCTCAAAGAATACCGAGCTTAAGTCGGTTCTACCGCATGGACAATCGTATAACATGAATTATAGTCTCTAATGTAATAGTGTGTCATCCAGTAGCAGCTTGGAAGAACAAGTGCCTGTTTGTATATGATGTAGGGTTAGTGGGGGATGGATCAGTATATATATAATGTAGCAGAACCTTGTGGGAATTTGCTTGTTGTGGAAGGTGTAATATTCTCCCTGAAAAATGTGCAATCAGAATGCTGTTGGAAGAAACTGCCCAGATTTTTTTTGGGGATTTTCTTTCTTTTAAGGGAAGTATGTTCATAAAAATGTTCATATAAATGTTAAAATTGAAGATGCTAGAGGCCTTTGTGGACGATAAAGAGAAGCTGTCCAGTCTCATAAAAAGCTCAGAAGAAATTTGAAAATTGAAACTTGTAGACATGTTTGATGTCGTTTCTGTCTCTATTTCTTGTTATTTGGTAACCGTTTCTTGTTGTTTTGTTGTTTCTTATTTTATTAAGAAAAATAGAAATATGTTTAGTAAATATGCTTGTTTCTGGTTCCCTTAAATTTTATGTTAAAAAGTAAATTTTTGTATGAAAATTAATTTTTAAATTAAATATTCAAATTTGTTATGTTATATTTGCTTTTTTGAATTTTATAATGCATTGTATAGGTAAAAATTTGATATAGTGTTTTTATTTAGGTTTTTTTTAATTTAATTTGTATTTTATAAAATGTGACTTTTGTTGGTCCACACCTTTAAATTATATTTAAGTTTGAGTTTGATTTGGATTATATTCTTTTTTAAAATTTTAAATTTCTTTCAAAATACTATGCTTCAATTTAGCCTGTGAACTATTAAAATGCTTTATACTTTTATTTTAGTTCAAGTATTTTTAAAATCTTTTTAGAAGTTGTCATTTGGTCCATATTTATAAACTTTTAACATAAATTTTACATATAACGAAAATCCTTTAATATAAAATCATGATTACATTTTAAAAAACATATTAATCATGTGTTGTAAATAAATAAATCAAAATGATCTCTTTTTAAAAGTACAGAATATTTTTAAAATTAAAGAGACAAAGATGAACACTTTTGAAATATAAAAACTAAAATGAACATTGAAATTGTTTCAGTATTTAAATCTGGATTTCAGAATGATTTAATGGATTGTTGACTTTGTAAAATGCAAGATTGACGTGGAATGAACCGCGGTCTAAATTGGCTGGTAGAAGTCAGTTCGGTTAGCTAGGTTGGTTTTTCGAAAATAAATGTTCACCTCTAGTACCCATTATTATTGAAAATGTGTCGTGTTAGGCTTCATTCTGTATAGGACTAGATGGTGTCGTGCTCGAGGTATTAATTGAATCACTTGTTTAACTCCAAGATTGTCAAGGTATGAAATTACAAAGTTTAGGGTTAAAATTGACTCACTCGAGGATAAAATAATTAACCTTGCTCTATAATCTGCCATAGGTATGTTTCCTTATTATTATCAAACACATGGGAATTGGAAAATTAATTTCTTCTAAACTGTTATTAAGTAACTCAATGCTATTCTTTTATTCTCATTCTACTGGAAAGAGAGAATCATTGCTTCGTACCTCATGCAACATTTCCTGTCATAGAAATGGAAAGTTTTGAATAATCCAATCACAACCATAGCCATTTTCTTCATCAACATTTGACAGCCTTCCATGGTAGCTTAGCTTCTATGTAGACTTACACGTTATCACTTGGATTACTTTCCGCTGCTCGAGTCACACCAACTTCGGCTGGCCGAAGAACTCGATCGTATAGCATATATCCAGACTGTCATGAAAACATGAAAATCAAATCATCTCCACATCTAAAGCGTCTATATCAAACCCAAACTTCTAAAATAATCAGTGATGATCTCATGTTCTTGAAAAAAGTTGAAATAAAATACTTGTTTTCTAAAAAAAATACAAAATTTGTTTATAGCTCAGTCTAAAGGACAATTTTACCTTAGCATATCAACTAAATATCTCCAACTACCAGTCTACCACCCTGTTTTTATGAGAATAAGCAGAGTTGCAAATTGAGCTAAGCTAATACCTTTAGGACAATAGCAACAGTGCCATCTGGCTTAGACCCATCTGAGATTTGGAATACCGCGTTATGCCTATGTGGATCGAATGGCTCGCTCGTAGGGTCGAATTTCTCTACCCCGGACTTCTTAAATACCTGTTGAACAAGTGTCTCTAAGCATCACGACTATAGATTTAACTTGAGATTTCCTCTCGACATGTTGAGTAGCTCATGCTAGAAAATGGCAAGCAACATATAAATTTACCTGCACGAGTTGTTTCTCAGTCATATCGACCCCTTCTAGAAGGGTTTTTAGAAGAGGTACGGCGCCACTCGAGTCCTCAGATTCCTTAATTTTTGAAAAGCTGTCTTTAACCACAGACGAGGCTCTTCCCAAGTTGTCAGCAACATCCAGCAAACTCTTTGCAAAATTCTGTAGAGCAAATTCAAAGACATGTAAGTTCATGTTAAACGGACCGGTATCAGGAGGAAGGACAGAGTTTGAGGAAGGAAATGGAAAATTTAGAGCGTTCTAGAAAGGCCAACTCATGAAACCTGAATTGCAAACTTCTTTGAGTTCTCTGCTTCACGTCTTGTCCTGTCCTTAACATTCTCCATTTCTGCATAAGAACGGAGGACTTTGTCTTGCATTTTCTTAATCTCTTTGTGCTTAGACTTCAAAAGTTCTTCCTTCCGCGCCAGTGATTTTACCAGATCATCCATGGAAGGTTGCTCACAACCCTCGGAATCCGAATCAGAAAAGGCAGTTCGTATAGTGCGTCTTCTCCATTGTCTTGATTTCGATTTGGTGGAATGGGAGTTCGATGTAGAATTCAATTCTCCTGCTTGGTCAGAAACTTCAGAATTCTCATCTTTTGTAGGATCTTTAGTTGTAGAATAATTCTTACTTTGTTTGGCACTCCCCTCTTTATTTTCAGAAGATTCATGGGAAGTAGTAGAAGATATTCCAAATTTTTGGAAGGGGAATGGATTGAAGACTATATGATGTAATAGAGACACCTGAACTGGAGCAAACTGGAAGATGAAGCATATTAATCAGTAACAGGAACAGAAATCGTGTATCCTACAACTGTCAACTGAGAAGTATGGAGATGGACACGACACATAGACTCAACACGATACGGATACAAATACAGACATATTATTTTCTATACGGAAACCGAAGAGAATGTTGATTAAATATACATGTTTTATAATATATTATTTTTACGCATGAAGGAAATTTAAAGTCTATAGCTTATGCATTATGCTTACGGTTTGGATGTATTTTCTTTATGCGCGAGCATTCAATACGTGCCAATAAGTCTTGGACTCATATTCAATTGGCTATTGTCTAAACAGGTTTATTGTGTTAACCAGTATCTAATACGTGTTAGAGGGCCGGAGTATTTGACACATGTCGTACACGGACACATTACTCAAACTGACGTGTCCGTGCTTCTTAAACTGCCCAGCTAGGTAAAAAGAGAAAGATCAAGCTTCAACTTCAAACCATAAAAATAAACTGCTAAGGGTGAAATTTGAATGAAAGTACCTAAGCAGGGTAATGCAGGCTAAAACATGATGAAAAATGCAAAAACATGTTAAACAGGCAGCACTAAATCAACAACATTCATGCTAAAATTCACAAGTTCATAATGTTCAACCACACCCAGATCGAATCACCTCTCAATTTTTCTATAATGAAAATTCTTGGTTCTTATTTTGAAACCGAACTGAACAGGAAGCAATGATCACCCAAAGAGTAATGGTAGCTCAAGACCAAAGATTTCGCAACCAAATGAAAGAAGAGGCTTCATAAGGGCATATGATAACGAAGAAAACCAAAAATCTGAATCAGAGAGCATTTTCAAATGAAATCGCTAAAACCCTAACAAAACCCCAGAGAAGAGAACCTTTGAAAACACGGCTTTAGAACCTCAACCTTGCCGGAAGTCTCATGAACGAGACCGCGAAACTGCTTGGAGAGAATCGGCGAGCTCCGGCGCAGGCTCCTGGTGGAAGCTCGAAACAGAACCCTCGAAACGGACATTGGGAAGAAGAGATTGAAATGGCGGACGCTGAGTTGGGAAAACGAAATCGATTGTTTCAAAGCTGCAGAAATTCCAAGCCCTTTCCAACTTTTTTGGAAAATTTTGGGGAAAACGGAGGCGGCTGCTCGGAGAAACAGGGATCTACAGTGGCTGTTGTTTTGAGCTATTTTTGTTTGAAGCGGTTCTCTGACCTTTTTGGTTTTTCTTGTTTTTAATTTTTATTTTTTGGTTTTCTATTTTTAAAATATAAAAATTATATATATTTGATAACCATTTTTTGTTTTTTGTTTTAAAAAAAAAAGAAAACCAAAACATGTTTCCTAACCATTTTTTGTTTTTTTTGTTTTTAAAAAGTTAGAAAATTGAAAATATATATTAGAGAGAGAAAATTTTATGCAGGGTAGAGATGACAATGGTATAGGTGCGAGTGAGGATGCTCTCACTCATTCTCGTACTCATGAAAATTTTTAGTCTCCGTCTCCACTTCGTTTTTGGGTCTGAGAGATGTTCTGAAAAAAAATTATCGGTTTTATAATTCTTTTTAAGTATTTTTAGAATTTAAGTATAAAAAAAGTGTAATAAATATATATTAATTATTTAAAAAATGGAATCGGGGACGGGGACAGGGTCGGGACATGCATTTCCTATTTTTGGGACCTGACCCTATGTAAATTTTTGTCTTCCCCGAATGTAAGTACATGAAAATACAAGTTTAGAGATATGTAAATAAACTTTTGAAGGATAAATTTTAGAGAGATAAATAAAAAGATTTAGAAAAAAACCGTGAAAGAAAAGTTCAAGACAAAAAGAGGAAAATTGTAGAGAAAAAAATAAAATCGAGAGGAAAAGATATGTTAAAGAAAAAAAAGAAATTATAAAAAAAAAGAACATGAAAACAAATTTAGAGATAATAGCAAAATTCAAAATATAATTTTTAGAGAAAAAATAAATACAAAAATAAATAAAAGTTAAAAGAAAATTAAACGAGAAAATAAAATATAATTTTCAAATGAAAAAATACGAAGAGAGAAAAATTATAAAAGATGAAATTTTAGAGAGAAAAAAAGTTAGTAAAAATATTAAATTTTTAAAGAGAGAAATGAAACTGTTCTGTAAGAAAACAAATACAGAAAAATTTAGAGAGAGATAAATAATAATAATAAATATGAAAATTTTAGAGAGAGAAAAATAAAATTTGTAGAGAGAAATTTAGTAATAAAAAAATTTTAGAGTGAGAAATAAATTTTTTAAAGATAAATATGAGAAATGAAAGAAAAGTTGAGTATTAGAAAAAAAATCAGATTTTGAAAAACAAAAACTGTTTTTGAAAACTATATATTTTTTAATTTACATAAAATTTCAAAAATGATTTTGAAAAAAAAAATTGAATTGGTTATCAAACAATCCTATTTTTGAAAAACTAAAAACTAAAAATAAAATAGTTATCAAATGGGCCTAAGTTAATGGTTATTTATTAATTTAATAATTATTATGTATTTATTGACTTATAATTTTTTATAAATATTTATGACTTTTTTTCCGATATTTCCATAGGCATTTTTATTCTATTCACAATTTGATATTTGAGTTGACATCAACATTTTTATATATATTCATTTATGAAATTTTTTTTATACTATTGAAACTTTGACATTTTTGTTGACATCAACATTTAAATAAATCCTTACTTTGTTCTTCGATTCGATATCTTTGTACTGTTTCAAAAAGTTTGTACTCTTTCAAAAGGTTTAATTAAAAACTTGATGTTGGAGAGATTTTTAATTTGGTCCCTATAATTTTAAATATTTTAATTTGGTCTTTTATCATTTATAATTAATTTTAATTTGGTCTCTATGATTTTAAAGTTTAAATTTAGTTTTGTAGTTTAATCAAACATCATGTATCATCCTTGTTGTTATTATGTTGAACACATGACACATTTTTTATTAACATGGTAATGAGAATGTATTTTGCTAATCTGAATATAGCTTCACTAGTTAAAGTATCTGTCTCCATCTAAAATGTAGTGAGTTCTAGACAAGTTATTATAATATGTTCTTACTTTCATCTCCATTTCATATATATAAAAGGTTCATGGGTCGTTGTATGATTTTATCAACCATATTAGTTATACTTAAATGTTAATTATTGACAATAAATTAGATCACACATGCTTTTTTTTTTCCTGTTAATTCATAGCTCATATATTTCATCTTTTCCAAAGGGTGATACTTCTAAGTATTTGGTAGTGTTTCTAAAACTTTTCAAAATCACTCTTCATTATCTAATCAAATTTTGGAAAGAATTTTAAAAAGTACTTTTAATTGGCTAATACGTAGCAACATCATTATTCAAAAAGTCATCTCTCAAATTCACTTGTTTTTGGTTTTGGTGGATAAAAAAAATTAGATTAAATTATAAGTTTAGATTTTATAGTCTGACTTATTTGATACATATATTCGGTTTTAAGATTTTTACTTTGGTAGTTATTGTTAAATATATATCCTTGACCTTATAATATGTTACCTAATTTAAATACATGATATGCGTTCTTTACACGATATGATGTTAGTTGATTGTATGTGAACGATATGGTCTTAGTTGATTGTATGTCGAGATTTAAATTCGCGAGTTTTCGAGTGACCAAAATTAAAACTAGGATCCCATAATCTAAAAATGGATTTGAAACTATCCTCAATGTATGATTTAACAAATTATTTATAAAAATTTTCAACTCATTGCAAGAAGTTCAATTAGTCTTTTTTTTTTTTTTTTCAATTTGCAAAATTATATA